GGTATGGATGGCATGGATGATGGTGAGGATGGAATGGATGGAGGATGGATGCGATGGCTGATGCGATGGATGAATGAATGAATGGATAGGATGGTGGATAGATGGGATGAAGTAATATATATATAGTATAATATATATATATATGTATATATATATATATATAGAGAGAGAGATATAGCTGCTAGCTATATATATTGATAAGATACAATAGATAGATACGATAGATAGATAGTTAGATATCTAATAGATACGATTAAGATTAGATTGATAGAGTAGATAGATCGATAGCATAGCTTAGATAGATAGATGGATAGATAAGATAAGGAGGATCAATCAATCAATCAATCAATTCAATCAATAATACTCTAACGCTCCCTTTACGTAACTTTCACGTCGCAGTGCTGCCTCTATGCGCCGAGAGAAACGCTAACTATTGGTGCGGTTCCTAGGCGACACAGATTCGGAATTATAAACTGGGTTAGTTATTTTACAGCTGCGATGTTCGTCGTGGACTGAACATAAATATTCGACGCGCATATCGAGTACGGGAAAATTATACGCCCAGATAGAAGAGCGCGTATATCCTCTGTCTCACTGCCCCCCACCTCTTTAGAGTCAAACCGTAACACAAATTCGTCTTCTTAATGTCGCATCTGTCGGCATCGTTGCAGTGGGCGTCTGGTGTGTGCATCTTCTCGCTCGATCACACGGCCGTCCGATGCTGCTGAAAACGCACTGCTTCACGCAGCCAAGTCTGCCAAACCCACATGCGAACACATATGACCGCGTAAAAAAACTTACAAAATATGATTACCCAACATAAATACATGAAAAATCAGTAAAAAAATGGAAATCATTCACTCGGCAGAAGTGAACAACTCACTCACGAGGCAATTCAGGGTTGTGCAATAACGCGTTGTGAGCATCAGGGCGTTAGAAATTCGACGCTAATCACGGATAGGACGAAAAAACCACGTAACAGCTGATCAAGGAAACCATCTTTTAATCAACGTCAGTGGAAAGCTTGCTAAAAAAAATCTCAACTTAACATAAAAAAAAGCTACCCACATGACTTTTATAATCGAGAAAGACAGGCAATCATAACTTCAGTCGGGTACGCAGGTCACGAAACTGACTCGACAGTGGAAAAAATACTTATCACCAAAAAGCTAGGAGGAACCAATTAATCCAGCAGTGGAAGACGTTGGGAACCTCTCCTCGTAACCCGATATAATCATTATTTTTATTTAATATAATTGAATCAGGAAACTTAGGCACGTAAACAGACTGCGCACTCATTCAAACAATTAGGTTCGAAGAATCTTCCTTCTGCAACAGGAATCTTAATTTGACGCATTATATCCTACTCGGAGAACTAGAGCAGTAATCAAAGAATGGCACTTACACGCGAAGTAGTACGTTGGAAGAATTTCGTGAAGGCGTACGAGTGAGTCCTGCGGCAGAGAATGGCCGCCTGCGATAGCGCGGGACATTGCCGTGGTACTCGCCAGGTGCCTTTCGTTCGTTGTCGGTTGCCAGTCTGCGAGGAACGACGAGAGCCTAGAGTCTATGCGCGGTGTTATGTGTCAACGCTTCGTAATTCCGCTCGTCAGCTTCTAATCGGTCACCGCTGTCCAATCGTTTACGTGTTCACCGAC